CAAACAGCACCTATGTTTTTCTGTACTGTGGGCTATAAACAGGACAATGGCAATGTAAGCAGCTGAGCTCACCCTGTACCAGCGATGGTAACTTGGCAGGGGGCAGACAGCCAGCACAAGGTTAGACCCAGTACAGCTGCCCTACATCAAACTCATCAGTCTGAGCCCACGGAGGAAAACCAGGCCTTCTGGACCAGCTAGCCAAGCAAAGAACCCAGAGCTAAAATCCTCCCTGCAGGCAAAGACATCAGCCTGATGCTATGGGGCATGCAAACTGCACTGACATCAAGAGGTCTGACTTAGGTGGGGAATGGATAAACCACCAAAATATCCTTCAAAGGCACGACTACGAAGGCAGCTGGGTACATCAGTATTTTTTAAGACAAAACACTGTGGCGTGGGCGGAGCTACAACCTTTTCTTCCTTCAAACGTATTTTCAGTTAGTAAGCTCAGGTATAAACCCAGCATACCATTTTTTAAGAAAGAGCTGGATTGAGAAAAACATTTCTGGTAAAAAAACGATGCAAAAACTTCAGAAACACCGCATTTTCTTTCTGCCTTGGAGGTGGCTCTTGTGCCGTTAACAAAAACATGTAAATCAGTGCAAGTCTATGCAAAGCACATGTAAAGCAGCAAGAAGGAATATCCTGTTTTGAAGGAAAGGAAACTCCAAGGCACAGCTGGGCTTGTGCTCCCTGAAATGCCATCCCTACCTCCTCTTCCCTGCTTGTTTTCTTAATGGAAGTATCAGTCCCTGCCTATAGATAGAAGATGGGGTGCTCCCCATGTGCGGAGCCAGGAAAATGATAAAAGCTGGGAAGACAGGGAAGCAGGGACAGATAGGGCGGGGATATCAAATCCGCATCTTTTGTTAACACCTATTTAACTTCTAACTAGTGCTTAACGTTTCTTTTTGGAGAAAACAGTTATTTGGGGAAGATCCTGTAACTCTAGAGAAGTAAGACTCTCAAAAGTGCCTGTGACAGAACAAGGGAAAACTAAACTTAATATTCCAGGACGGAAAAGGCCTCGGTCTAAAGCTTGATCCAATAAGGAAATCTGTTAGATAATATTTAATCTGAATACCCCTTCAGTGGACAATATGCTATTTTGTATTTAGGAGGTGTAAGTGTATTTAGGATGTGCCCAGCTAAGAGGAACTCCACACTTCTGCCTATATCAAAGTGTTAACCCAAGGAAACAGCACTTGGTTTTTCAGCAGCTCAGCTGTTAGGCTCTGCTTTACATTTTGCACATCCTTAGCATCCATCTGTCATGCTTGCAACAAGAAGCATTGCTTATTGAGCGAGCCTGCAGTCTACATACGGTAATCTCTGAGTCCTTCCTGAAATTTAAAAGGTATCAGCAATGATGGCATTGGTAATCTGTTTTAAACGTTATTAAAGTTTAGTTTATTAATAGTGATTTTGATGGACTAGAGGTTAGGAGAGTAGCTAAAACTTGGGTGTAGGGACACTACACCGTCTGCAGAATTTCAGATGGTATCTACATTGAGATTGGTTTGAAACCAGCGCAGTTTGCCTTCAGTATGCTCTGCTTAAACCATTACAGAAACGCTTTTGGCTCTCTTGTTCCTGTGCGATGGCATACCATAATAACACACAGAACATGATAATTCCATCATAGCAACACAGTGAATATTTTTCCAACCCCCAAAATCATAATAGCAAAATGGAGCTGACGGTATGACCTCAGCAAAGTCACTTTTGCACAGAAAAAGCATTTAACTCCTGCACTCTAATTTTATCCGTATGTGAACACGTTCAATCTGTTACAGCTGAGAAATGCCTGTCTATTTCTACATCTCATATCTTAGAATAAATAGCAGGCACTGTGGGTAAGATTCAGTACGATCATTTGTCTACCTGGGCAGCAGAAAGGCAAGGTATGCATTCACACCACACAAGCTTTTCAGTGCTAAACCCTAAGGGAGGTAGAACGGGTGCAGGCAGAACAATGTGGCTACCGTGTACAGACTCACAAATTCCTTTGGAGGCTCAAAAGGTTAGGTCTTTTCTTCAGGCCCTCTTGACTTGGAGGCTTTCAGAGGGACTTCCCTCTCCCCTTTGACTCCTGGCAAGGACGAAGGTGTAGTTCAGACTCTCAGCAGTCACCAAGTGTGGCAAAACTGCTGGGCTGTAGATTTAGGATAGGAATATTGGGCAGTGGCTACCTCATGTAGACCAAAGCCTCTGATTTAGGACCAAATGCAACTCCTGATCTGAGAGGGCTTGACGAATATTTCTCAGAAGCTAATGCTTTTCTTCTGCTACCAATCTCCAGTTTGCCACCACATCTGCTCCACAACCTGAAAACTGCTGCTCAGAGCTTTCCTTCATACTTGGTCTCCATTTTTCATTATAGTCTATTGTTTCACCTCAAAAAGGTCTTCCTTCACCTAAGGTCTTTCATGCTGCTCCTTCTTTGCCATCGGTTTACTTAGTTGGCGCCTTTTGGTAGGACTCCAACTTTAGCAAATGCTATTTAGCTGTGGAGCCAATGTTGGGGAAAATAATAATTCCCACTCCCCGATGCTAGAGGCTTAGGACTAGGCTCACTTGAATCCATTTTCTTTTTAATTTCTACAGTGAAATAATCTTTCTGCAGATTTTTAAGAAGGCGTTTCTGTCTCAATGGCTGACAGCACTTTCAGAGAGGCTTTTTCCCATGGAGTAAATGATATCTAACAGTTCTTTTATTCCTTCAGTGGGCCTTTGAAGAAAACAGGGAATACATCCATTACAAGCATTTGTTTTGTCTTGTATTGATCACTTGGGATCTTTCAACCCAGGATCTCATTTTGCTGGAACACAGAGTCATTTATAATAATGGTACATCCTGGAACAGTCTAATCCTATTGCAAAGTGGATCTTCCCATTAAGAGTGATGCATCTAATGAGATACAGCAGACTACAGGGAGCAGACACAGACTAACCACATTAACTGCTTTTATGGAAGTATTTCTTAAAAAGAGTTATTTCACTCTGTAGTTAGAAAAGACCAAGCCTTTAACTGTGTGGAGTCAATGAATACCTCCTAATGCTGCCCTCTCATTAGCTTATGGCTTCCAAAGCATCTTCTTTTTAAATTCGGTCTATTTGTCTGCACCAAAGGGTATTTTCTCTTTTATGACAGTTGGCTAGAAATGCTTCAGGCACGCAACTGGAATAATCAAAGCTGTATTATCCTCCCTGGCAAATTCTTCATCATGCATTTGATATACCAGTCAGTTTAAAGGGAGGTGGTTTCAGGCTAGCATTTTTAGAAGTGGATCACATTGTTATTATTTTTCCCCTCCCTGCTTGATTCAGAGGAACCAGAGTTCGGCCAGTGCCAGGAAATCTGAACAGCCTTTCAGAGGAGCTCAGTCTTGGCTGCTTCTCAAAGAGCTCTACAGCAGAAGAAAGACATGATTTTGAAATAGAGGAAGGCTTTCTGAAGAAATGGTTTTCACTAGAAAAAGGCCGATTGAACCAACTTGGGGCATTTTGCAGGATGTGTGGATTTCATTGACTCTTTCACTGGAAGCCAGGTCAATGTCACAGGCAAAGATGCCCGGCTTCTTGCCAGCCTGCCTGCCATGCATGGAGCAGTTAGCCCCAAAAACCTGCCTGCCCCAGCCCCAACCAGAGCTGGAAGGGCTCAAGGTCCCCAGGGTGCCGCAGCAAATCCTACAGGATCTGGTTCTTGTGGGGCTTGGTGGTATGTCCCAAAGGAGAGGGGCTTTGTCGCTTTGGGGTCTCTGATTTCAGAGAGGTTCAGAGAGGCTTCCCCATGCCCTGCCAGAGGGTGAGGGATACAGAGAGGTCTGCGTGTCCAAGAGCTTGGGAGTCATGGGGAAGCAAAGGAAAGAAAGATGGGATATTTGACTAAGGAATTTCCTGGGGAACAAAATTCCAAATTCCCACTATGTTCTGCCAGGACTGTAAATGCCCACGTGCTCCTTCTTGCCTACAAGCAACATAGATGTTTTTCACACAGCACATCATACAACACAATTAAATTCTGCTCATTACCCAGCCTGTATCTATACCTAAAACTATATTATAAACTGGTCTTTTTTAAAAAAAAAAAAAGCCAACAACCTTATTCAAAGAACTAATTACAAGGGCCAGATTCTGTATTACAATGCACAAAAGTGAGGACAAGTTGGTTTAAAAGAAGAGACACATTAAAATATTAGCGTAATGATGCAGCAGTATTTTTCATACAGGTGGCTCTAAAATACATGTAACCAGGATCACACAAACTACGAGTCTACATTATTTTAATATGTCTATGTTAGTTCAATACGATCACGTAAGGGTGAAAGAAGTTCCAGACTTTTGTGCAATTCCTTATAACGCTGACTTTGCGTAGCCGTACCGGCTTTAAAAGCCGTCCTCGTTATTTTGCGATTGCTGTCTGCACAGCACGTCGCATAGTGAAGGCAATCTGCAACAATCGGTATCTCTCATATTTTGTTATGGTTTGTCCTAGTGATGTGATTTACTGATGTGATCACTGCAAACTCCAATACCTTGCAATGGGTGGAGCTTATTGGAATACCCACATTTGAGGCTACAAGTACCGTTAGCGCACACATTACTTCAATGCAAAATCCACTGTGAAGAAATAAAAAAAACAAAAGAGACAGATGGAAAACCTGTCGTAAGAGAGTTACATGCAGGAAATCCCATGCCATGCACTTATCAAGAAAGTGAAGTACAAATGATGAATGGTGCGCAGCCTCTGAACAAGGGAGAAATGCTACTCGCCCAGGTTCAAATGGCACTGTTGGAGGAAACCAGGCTCTTCCACGTAATCGTTTGCTTTATCTTTGAGGTCACGTTTTCGTAAGTGTTGTTTTTCTTTAACCACAGCTACGGAGTTCATGCTCTGCCCAACTGGAGCAGCTTTACTGTGACAACTCCAACGCATTTTTTGGAAGCCTGATTATTTTCCAATGTCACTGGCGTGACCGAGACGTGCTGATGCACCTCTGCCTAACCGTCCTCCGTGAGCAGCTGTTTCCCCCTTGCCGTGCCATTATCCGCTGGCTTGAGTGGCACAATTTTAAGATGAATAGTCCAGACTGCCTTGACTACAGTCGCTGGGCAAAGGCATACCTTGCAGTGTGTAGTACTGACAGGAAGTCCAACATTGGAAGCTACCACAACTGTGAACGCCGAAGCCAACTCAATAGTGAATCCACTGCGGGAAGCATAAGAAAACACTTCACAATCACTCTTTGCATCAGCTTGGACTGATACCATGCAGCGTGCCAAAGTCTTACCCGTTTCTTCCTTCGACTGTTTTACCTCCGACTGATTTTTGTCATAGGAATAAGTTAAGAGAACAAGGAAGGGCTGAATAATGGGAACGGCACAGGCTAGTCATCTGTAGTAACCCGGCTGCACGGCTTATTGTGTCAGGGACTTTCACTACTCTACGCTGCGGTGAATCATGCCTAATTAGTAATTTCATTAAGCACCAGCAGAGGTCGAGTATGCATTAAGGATGACAATTACTGTAATAAATACATATGGGTTTCATAGTCTGAAGCGCAAGGGGAAAGCCACTGTAATCTTGCCATTTCCAAATGCACCTTCTGCCACCTTAATTAGGCCATCAGCAGAAGACTGTTCACGGAGACCTCTATGCCTCAAACGCATTCAGTGTTAGTTTACAGGGTTATCTTTTTTTCCTTTCTCTCTTTCTTCCCTTTTCTCACTCTTTCTTTCTCTCCTTTTCCTCTTTTTTCTCTTTCATTTTTTAGAAAGACGGAGAAGTCGAAGACAGGTTACCATTAAAATCAAAGCACAGCAAATCCAGCGAACTGCATTACAAACAGAATACTGGAGCAGCAATTTCTCACACTGGTTCACGCACAAAGTTCACACAACCATTATGACAACTGTGCACCTACCTTGACGGTGTGATTGGAGTGAGGTCTTTACCCATAGTCTGGATAACTCTTCTACCCCAGACCCAGAGACCCACACAGATCCCAACACCTCCATAAAACAGCAGCCAGACGGGAGTCGATGCTTCTTGCATTACACCACCTTGCTTGTAGATAAGCCAGAGCGCGACAAGGGGACCGATTGCATTGCTGGAGAAACAGAAAATCATTGCCCGAGTTATAAAAATGCAGATAATTGCCTTGAAAGAAGTCTCTTATTTTCTGCACGATTTTTCTTCATCGCGCATGCAGCACTGCTCTGGCTTGACCCTACAGGCAACACCATTTCTCGCTTGCAAAGGCTGCGGCAGGGGACTCTTATCGTGTTGCTTTTTCAGTTGTCACTTCACCACTGATAACTATAGCGAATGCTGAAAGGAATTTCTCTTTTACAAATTGTTTCCTGAAATGTCAGACTCGGTAATACCTCATTAAGTCTGTTCTTGGACAAAACCCAGTATTTTCAGCACTGCGCTGAAACCATCTCAAAATTTACCAGTTCCAGAGCTTTAAAATTCAAGTATTAAATTAGCAATTTTTGTCAAAGAGGGAAGTTTATGAATAAAATTACCATTGCAGACGAGAAGATACAAATATAATCTAGTCTGATAACCTGTAATGTTTGGAGATACGATCAGAATGCAGCCAGGAAGGTGACTTAGTCCTCTTCAAACGTGTTGTAGAGCTAGTTGGACTGGATCAGAGAGGACTCCTTGGTGACACAGAGCTGGTGTAAGCCCTTTTTGCTACCCTGCTGCTGCTATCTAGAAAAACACTGCAAGTCAGCAACACTGAAGCCCCACTCCTTAACGCAGGTCACCCAATATTGGTGGCTGGAGTCTCCAGTACCTGGAATGAGATTTCTGACTCTATTCTAAAAAAAGCATCAAGTTTCTAGACATGAGAGTTAGAAGAAAAACTTGGAAAGCTGGTATCCAGTTACTTTAGAGGCTTAAATACTAAAAAGCATATAAGAACTTCAACATCCCTCTTTTTTTGGAGCTCTTTGGCTAAACTCAGTAGCTGCTTGCCCTCCCAGGCTGCATTTATCCACAATCCAAAAAGTGTAAGAAGTAAGGCAGCACTGCGCTTATGTCTAAGTAATCATGAGGAGAGCAGAGCAAACCTGTCCAATGTCATTCAAAAAGTCTGGAAACTAACAGGAAGCTCCCCTCTTTGTAAACTGATAAGGAGAGCGGGTCACGGTGAGCGCCACAGGCCGGACAACAGCTATGTTCGCCCTGCAGCCAGGACTGGATAAATTTAGTTCCTGGTCTTGCTCCAAAGCACACAGATGTAGTAAGGGCCCGTTTTAATGTCAAATGTTGTGCAAACCAAGCCACTGTAACCAACAGTTAATAATTTACTTGAGTCCCATCTTTACCAGATGCGAGGTGCTGGGGGCTGAGCACTAACTGCCAAGAGACGAGGGTCCTCGGCATCGCAAAGCTCAGCTCATCTAAGCAATAAAAGACCCTCCTTCTTTCTTCTGGTCCTTGAGAAATCAAGCTCTGAACCCTGAGAAGCGGTCCTGGAGCAAAGTAACTAGGAAGGAATTTTCCCTTGTAAACACACACAACAACGTTCAAGCTGAAAGGCAAATGAAAATACTTTAAAATGCTCTTTGAGATAAAAAGGAATGAATAATTCTTATGGATTTTGAGAAAGATGCTGGAAATAAATTAGTGAGCTAACACAGGTAATAAAATCCAGTGGGTTTGACAACACCGGGTGGTACAATGAAGAACTAAATACCTCTAAATAAAGAGTGATTTCCACTAGTAAAAATACTTTAAAATTCTGGTCTAATACTGTGTCTCAGTACGCATTTGTTTTGTTGAGTTTTTGCGTGAGTGAAAGGACAATATGTGAAAAGTCCTTAAGAGCCCAAACACAAGAATTATTTTACCTTCAAGGAAGAAGAGATTCTCGAGCAAAGCATTTCTAACATTTTTAAGTTGACCTGCAACTTCTTCACCAGTGTTTTCAGATGTGGATTAAATTACCTGCACATTGACATGCCTTATTGTGCATAGCAAAAGAAAAGTAATTCACTGTACCTTCAACTAATGGATGCAGGAGGATGGATAAAGGTAAGTAAAACATTGATCAGACGAATAAAGGGAAAACTGATCATCCCTTCTTATAGGACTATATGACATGGGGACAACCCCCCTGTTGAAAATAACAGGTGCATTTGGAGTGAGCCCAGGCACTGATTCCTGACTGTTCTGAAGAGATTATGGATGGATATTTGTCAGTCCTATTGTAAATGGGAAGACAGGAAAGGCTTCAAAAACTACAGCAGCACACTATGCTCTTTTGTACCAAAATCCAGTTTTAATTATTTGCAAATGCTACACCTCCGTGATTCAACTAAGCTTAATCCTCGAAGAAAAGGTTATTTTCTTATTTATGGCAACAGAAGGCAAGGCAAAACTCTGATGACTTGTGCTCAGCCTCGGCGGATCCAAGTAGCTGATGCTGCCCAACAGATCAGAAGAGATGACACTGATGCCCACAGAGGCAGCACCTCTGATACCTTCCCTGTAGGAAAAGAAAGCAGAGGAGCACTGGATCCATATATGCTTGGAAAAGCAAAGAGGCAATTAACGGCACGGCCATTTGTAGGTATCTGCACCACTCGTTATCCATAGCATAGAGACATTGCTCCTCTCCCTGCAAATCACATTCAATGTGACTTAAATGTTCAGCTCCCAGGGACAACAGCATCTCCCAGCCTGAACTCCTGCAAGTGGCAACCAACAGCCAGCAAACCGGCAGTGGTGCGCAGCCAGTTGGCTCTGATCTACTACCGTCACAGCTCTTCACAGGGCTCCTTCAGCTTCTGGGTTTGTTCAGTAGGTCCAGTCCCAGGGGCTTGTGATAGATATCAAAGCTTCCTATGCCAATGGAGAACAGCTTTAGAAGAAGCTGTTAAGCCTGTCCCACCACAAAACTGCCAAAAACTCACAATGAATGCACCTGACTCATGATCTACAAAGATAGGGTCTTGGTACTGCAGACATCAGCTTCGAGACATTACCACAAGCATGTGCAATCAACCATCCTTGGGACTAGGAAGAGTTCATTGGCAGAGGATGACCAGTGCCAACAGGAGAGTAGGAGAGAAACAACACATTAAAAAAAAAAAAAAAGGTGTTGTTAGATAAGAGGCTTTGCTTTGAGACTTTCTGTGATTAACAGATGTCTCCTACAGCTGAGTGACTAAGCAGATGAACCACAAGGACGCTGGCTAGACTGGGATGTGGCTTTCACAATATTTCCCAGCAGTTCTATCTCATTTGACTCAAGACATGACTAGCAGGAAAGCAGACCTCAAGTCTTCTGTTCATTTGACTAAGACTCATTTCACAAGTCTATACTCAAGGAGTAATTTTCCCTTACTCTCCCACGCAGCTCTTTTACTTGGCTTAACTAACTCTCCTTTGTGCTGGAGCTCCAAGTCTTATTCGTGGTGCTTTAGAGGGAGAAGAAAAAAGCCTGAGATGGTCACTCAGGGGCTCTGAACCCCTATCCGCACCTATCTATATGTAAAATTGCCATTAGGTTCCCATGTAACTGAAGTGCTTTCAAGGATGTTACCATATTATTTAGCTATTAGGTCTGAAAGCCCAGATAAACTACTCCTGTTGTGGTATTCAGTTTTGTACACATTCTTCCATGGAGCACCAGAGGATGGCCACTACAAGTTAATTTTAGGATGAATTTATAAAATGTTGTGGCATAAGAAGCCTAACTCCTGAGTCTACCTGTCATGAAGAGTAATCTCCATGTCCAGTATTTTTCACCATCTCTGCCAGGCTCCACCAGTGCCGGTTACTCGCAGGGCACAGGACTTCGCAGCCGGGGCGGCGCCTAGGGGCTGTTTGCCTTCCCTGGAGGTGCGATACAGGGAGAAATGCCATCTACAGTAATGGCTGTACTTGCAGACGTGTGTCACAGTGGTTCAGTGAAGTGCTGCTGAGTGTTTCTGAAGTGCTCTCTGACCCTCATGATTTTGCTAGCTCTCTCAACTAATGTGAACTGGCATGACTTCTCTTTTTCTGCTCGCTTATGCCAGTAGAGAATCTGTCCCGCACCATTTATAAAGTGGTTGTGAAAGATAGAATTTGACAGTGAATCTAAACTATAAATAGAGTTGGCTTCTCCTCTCCCCTGTGAACAGATAGTATTACTGACAAAAAAAAACCCACATTCAGCTATCATGAGACAGGCTTGGAAATTACAGTTTCCCAAGCACACACATACACACACGAACAGAGATTTTTAGGTACCTTTGGGTCACAAGTCCAGGCCCTTCTCTGGAGGAATGAGGACTACAACCTTTTTTTTTTTTTTTTCTTTTAGTAAAAATTAAGGGCTTTTTGAAGTAATGGAAGGGTGCCAGGATGGCATCAGCTGAATGCTCTATCACCAAATCCCATCAACCTTGTCATATTATTTTATAAACTAGTAATGTTGCTGTTACCTCACTACTTCTTATTTGAGGGGAGTAGTGAGTTGGGCAAAAAGAAAAACTAGTTGTATTTGAATGCTACGCACTGAATAAGCTTTGTGTTATAAGCCATGATCTACAGACTACTTGATGACCATGCTTTGATTCTCTGCTACTTAAAAAAGCAGATCATGCTTTAGCCACTTTTTCTAGTTGAAAGAAGCTTGACACATATATGATCACTGATTAAAACTGAATGACGAGCAAAATAGCCATCTGAGAAATCTGTATTAGGCTTCCAATATTACAAATATAATTACAAAATCCCCCGTCATTTGACTATTTCCCAAACCCAGATTTCACAAAGGAACTTTCCACTGGGAAAATAAGTGGGATGGTATTTCTGAATATGTGGCAGTTATGCCTGGAGACAGTTGAGTAAGGGTGTAAGGAAGATACACCTGTATGGACCAACAGGGAAAAAAAAAAAGTCCTAATCTCCAGAGATCTCAGATTATCGACAGAGTTTTATCCTAGTTCAAATAATCAGAGAGTTTTGAAATAGTGCGTACACCATAGCGCAACAGAAGTGTGTCACAGCTGTGCCCTGTGAAGTGCAGGATTTGGGTGCGTTAATGAGTCAGGAAGGCTACATATTTCTTCCTGCAGCTCATCGCCACGTACTGTAAAT